GAATTCCGCTCAGAAGGTGCAGGCGCAGTGGTGCTCTCGAGGTGTTATGTTAGATCCAGTCCTCTTGCCGAGGCAGCTGAGCTTCCTGACCCCATGAGCCATGTTCTGGTACATCCTCCAAGAGAGGTGAGGGAGCCCTGGAAGCCGGCGGTAGCTCACTGGTTATCCCTTCGTGCCAATACGGGGCAGTCTAGGACTCGACATACAGCACGATGCTGGGGCAGCTGGGACAGGGTTATGTCAGGAGTTCCTATACATTGCTTCCTTGCACAGTGTCCAGCATCGTCTCTGCTAAAACACTTCTCCCTTTGGGATAGTTTTAGCAGGTTTCCACGTTGCTATTCCCGATTGAAATATTTTTTAGAAATATAAAGAGGCAAGTGTGGTTACTGCACATAGCAATGAATCTACACCTCATTGCTGTGGCTCGGAAAATGTTTGGGAAAAAATGATGCTGCCAGCACTCTCACTCAGTGGATGTAATTTCGCAGGTCACGGTGATAGGCAAAGGAGCTCCCGTGATCAAAAAATAAATTCATTCACAAAAGTTGGTCCCCTGGCTGCAACGCAGAAGTCTGGAAAAAGGAGTCTTGTTAACAGAATTTATGTACATGCAATGTGAGAAAAAAGTAATCAGAATAATGAACTCTAGATGAGGTTTAAATACTTACTAAAAGAAGGAAAAAAAAGTAATGTCTTCAAGCTCTGGGTAGTTTGGTTTAGACACAGAAATAATTTGTCTGAACTTTCAGAAATTCCTGGTTTTCCGCTGCTTGTGCTGATTTCAGTTTTGATTGTGCTTTTGAAATCTTTGGTAAATGAATGTTTGTGCATTTGGAATTCTACTGTGGGCAACCACATGAACAATTTTTGATCAATGTACTTCACAAAATCTTATGCCTAAAAAAAAATTCTTTTATAAATGTGGATTTTTTTTTTTTTTTAAAGTTTAGGGCTTTTGAACCGCCATTGTCAACAGTTCTTTTACAGTGCAAAGACAACTGCTATGAGGCAGTGGTGTTAATTCTTTGGGTTCGTGTGTATTTGAGGGAAAAAAAGTACGGACAGGCTTCTTCAGAGGCATTCTCTACCTAATTATGTTTTGGCACACAATGAAAGAATGTGATGTTTTCTCTTAAGTGCTTCCTTTCAACCTAAACATTGTGCAACTGGAGCAGCAGTTTAAAGCCAGATGAAAAAATGAAGAAAATTTGAAGTTAAGTGCTTTTTCTGTTTCTCTGTGTTTCTTCTCTGATCATTGCTGTAAGCTTAGAATTAGCGGAACAGAGCAACTCTGAAAGTTTAGCGTAGGAACGGGAACAGCTACGGCTGGAATAGGATTTCCTAAGACCATACAGTCTATGGAAAAAGCGTAATATAAGTCAGTGGAGGAGTTTAGATGTCTTCAGTATTCAGTCATGTCACATTTAATTTTAATTGCCTTTGAACAGAAGGCATTTCCTCTTCTAGCTCAGCATTTAGAGACTCTGGAAAAGGCTTTTGCTGACTCAAAAACTCGACAGTTCTTATTTTCCACCCTTTGTTCCTACCTTCTTGTGGCTAGCTGGCTGTTCTTGTTATTAGCAAAATAACTTTTTTTTGCCCCTGCAAGTAGAAATCTGGGAATACTGCTGCAAGATGTGCAAAGCAATTTTTCAGTTGTGCGGTGAACACAGAATTTGATCACCAGACTGTGGTCTCTGGCACTGAACATCCGGCTTTAAAAGAAAAAAAAATTAAGCCGCAAAGAATCTCGGTGAGGTAAAAGAAGGAATGTCAGTCTGTGAATGAAATCTCATCACTGAAGCGCAGGGAGTGCGAGGATCTAGATTTTTACTTTGACCCAGTTAGGATACGCAACCCAGCAGCTCTGTCTCCTGTTCACGGCCTGGTGTCTAATTAATAAAAATGAGTTTAGAGTTTTAATTTGGTCCCTTCTCTAAGGAGAGAGATGAGCAATCCTGACTTGGAATTCCCAGTGTTCTAGATGGGAATTATCCTAAGGATAATGTCCTAAATAGGTTACCAGTTTTAGAGCCTGATCTTGTAGGTCTATGGCGAAACAGAATGAGTTGGCTGCTGCTGAAAAACAGACTGTGATTGTTAGCTGTAGGGCGTGGAATACGTTTTCAGAACAATGGACTTGAAAATTATAAGGAACTTTTCACTTGCCTGGGATACAGCATTTGTGTATTATGTAAAGATGTTTATAGTGCAAGAATTTAGATGTCTGTGTACGTCCTGCTAGTACCATACATTGTTTTTCTGCCAAATCCCTCAATAACTGGCATAAAAGAAAATTGGAGAAAAAATGAATATATGAAGCCATTAGGAACATTTTCCTACGAAAATTGCTCATTGAATGCGTGAGTTTCTTAAAATAAGCAGCCGCTGCTACAAGGAGAAAGGAACTAGCTACTGAGCATTTTATCTATTAATTCTCAGTTCAAGTGTGATTCACACTGGGAGTGGATAAAATTTAGCTCATTTAATTAAGTGTATTTATTTGAGGAATTCTCTGTGGCACTTAGTGGTAGAATCTGAGCTACCCAATCGTGGAGTTTTTTTAAATGAAAAGTATCAGTAATATCATTCTAGTATTGCTTTAGCCAGCTCTCTTGGGAAGACAAGAGCTAGGGAATAATTATTTCTGTGCTAAGTGTCTTTTTAACTCTCACGTAGTCTAAGATGCAGGTAATAAGACTTAGGCTTTGGCCCAGTTCTTAGCTGCAGTTTGGCCCACAACTCAACCTGGCCCGGGAATGTCTCTCCTTTTCCTTTTATGGGATAAAAGTTGGACACCAAATATCCTGATTACTTCCAGATTAGAAAGGTCTCTCAGAAAAGATAAACTTATTTGATGGACTAGCTTTAAAGTGGTGTGAAATTACTTTAAGGCAACGGGAAACACATGTATGTGTCCTGATGCAGGGCTGCAAATGTGATTAAGCGATAACAGGAGAAGGCCTTTCTCTGAGAAAAGAGAAGATTCTCTTCCTTTTCTAATGAGTGCCTAAGAATAGCAGAGAGAGGAGAAAAAAAATACTCAGGCTAATAATGCTATTTTCAGGTTACAGGTAAGGGACTACCCAGAAGGAGGCTTTTTGGCGGGTGGAGGGATATTGGATTCACTTAGGCAAGTTCAGAACCCAATTGGAAGGTTTCCAGTCAGGTAGTGTTGCTGCTAATTAGATAGGAATCCTGAGCTGACTGGTGGGAACCACAAAAAAATGATAGGGAAATGGGGCTTTCATTGCTGTTACCTTTTTTCTTACTGTGGCTTTGCTCGTTTGGCCAATGCCTCTGGTAAAGCAGGTTAGCCTTGGGGTGACTTCTGCTAGAAACTGGTTGCCCACAGCCTTGCCTGGCCACACCATTCAGGTGTCCAGGGGTGCACTGCTCCAACCTCTGTTGGAGGTGTTACAGCAGTGACCTCCTTGGAACCACACCTTGTGTTGGGGACACGTTGCCTTAGCTAAGGGTCATGCTATGGAGCTTCTGTAGTATTACCTGAGGATTTCTTCAGTGCTGTGCACAGAGTGCAGTTTTGCTCTTTCTATAGCATCTATGTATTGCAGTAAAGTGCAAGATTTAGGTACAAATTTGTAAAGTTCTGCGTTGTTTTTTTTAATAATTAGCTTCTCCATTGTTTTTGAACTCTGCTACTCAAGTTACACAAAGAGGAAGGGCACTAGCAAGTTGCTGAGTAAGGGGATTTTTTAGAGGAGATCTGTAGAGGGAAAAGTTATGGCTTATACCACTGTCAACATCGATGAATTTATCAGCAGTGGGTGATATGCACTGGATTCTTCTCCCTATTTCAATTTTCTAAGACTGCAGAAATATGTATGCAAATTGCAGTTATAACCAAGCATAGCACTTCACTTTCAAAATCTTTTAATGGAGGTCTTGACACAGGAGCAAGAAATTCTGTTTAAGGTGTATGAAGGAGTTGCAAGGTATTTCTTACAAGAAAAATCAAAAGGGCTGCTGCCTCTTCTGTGGCGATTAAGCAAACCTAAACCCCAGGAAACTCCCCACATAAATGTAAATGAGTATTTCAGGGTTTTCTCTGTAAGTTTTATGAAAATAGAGTCATGAAAGACCTGCTTCTTGAAAATTTTGGCATATGGAGGGTATTTTGCATGCACTTAATGTGTATCCCGGCATCTGTGGTGTGTGTTTACGTGAGGTGCATAACTGGGCACAGCTTCTTGTGTTTGTTCACCTTGGCGTGATCCATATACTGCCCCTGAAGCTGAAATGGCCTTTGTCTCACATTATCTCTGGTTTGTCATACCTTGCTTAACAAGATGGTATGGTAGATGCTTTTCTTGTTCTTTCTTGCATGTCCTCTCAGTGTCTGTGTAAAAGTAGTACAAATCTTTTTTATACTAGCAATTGGTAGTGTTAAAGGTGTTAAAGGCTTTGCTGTAGGGTACTGAAGTGAAGATTGATAAGCCCGAGTGTTCCAGCTGAAGAGAGCGGTGGCACATAGCTTACATTTGCCTGTATTAGATTGGTGTGCTAGCAGATAATTTAATGCACCTTGGTGGTGTAAGTGGCACTGTCCCCTGTCCTTTTAAAAACCACACAGGTTTTTGTCATTCTTCAGATGGACTGGTCGGTGGAGTGGTTTAAAGTAGCTGTAAGAGGAATTCAAAGTTGTGGATTTTGGAAGGGGAGATGTGAGGCAGAGGGGTCCTGCACACATGGTGTTTGGTGTTAGGCCTGAGCACGCAGTAGTTGTGGTGTGTCGCATATAGTACGTGAGGTGCTGCTGGCATGCTCACCAGATGAGCCCAGCCCGTAACAACCGAGACAATGGCCCTTTGCGTCCTTGTATTTTCTGTTGGTTCTGGTGATGTGCGCTTCTGTAGCTGTGCATCTGGTCTTCAGTCTTCAGGCTCGTTCCATGCTCTTTTTGTAATCTAATTTGGTCTTGGGTATTTCTCTTGGCAGAATTACGAAAAAGCAGACCGAGACCATATGGGTTAGTGATTCCGATTAGTACCAATGCAGACGGAAGCTACATCTCCAATATCCTCTCTGCGAGTCACCAAAGAAGATCAACACGGGAGGTGTCCCAGAGCCCCAAGCAGCTGTATTTTAACGTCACTGCATTTGGAAGGGAATTCCATCTCCGGCTGAAACCCAACACTCGTTTAGTGGCTCCTGAGGCCATAGTGGAGTGGTACGAAGACTCTGTGGAAACTGGAAACGATGCTGGTAACACGAGTCAGGCTGGAACTGCTACAGAGAGATTATGGAAAAGAGAGCCCCTGTGGACCAATTGCGCCTATGTGGGAGACATAACTGACATCCCCGGAGCTTCTGTTGCTATTAGCAATTGTGATGGTCTGGTAAGACTTATTTAATGGCATTAATGGCTGGTGTTTTACCACTTTGCAGGCTTTTTATTGCTTTTAACTACACATTGCTAACGATACTATTTAAAGAACTTCATTTCTTAAATCCCTTAGAAAATGCCTCAGTACGTATTGATGTACACAGTCCTACTGCTTTATTCTCTGAGTTTGAAGAGTGAAGTCCTGAATGTCACTGGTGTGAGAGAGAGAAATCAAACCTGCATTTTTTTGGTTTTCCTTTTTACTTTCATGAGGTGTTATACTTAAAAGATGACCTCTTGATGAGTGAATGTACAATTTGGCATCCAAATCATCAGTGTGTACTTCTTGGGTAGCAAAATCATGGGCTGCCCTGTAGTGCAAGAATAGCAACAGGTTTAAAGGGTTTATTTATAAAATAAGCATGCTGTTTGTTTTCTTACGTGCAGTTTTGTTTCATCAGAAGGTAGCATATGAGAATTGAGTGATTCACATCTATAAACAGTTTGTTCTTAAAACTGCGCTGTCCTGATTGCTGTGTTAGTTGAAAACGCGTGGTATTTCATTGTGGCTTCAGCAGATGCAGTGACTGGCTTGGTACACAAATCCTGTATTGAAAGACTGGGCATATATGGAGTACACATACCATTCGTTAATTCAATCATGCGGTAAAGAAAGCTAACAATACTTACCTTGTACTGTTTAAGTAGCAGGAGCAGTGGTGGAACATGACTGCAACATCCAGGAAGATTAATGTAGTGGTTCCTCTACTGCTGTTCAGGAGAGGAATCATATGAACAAGTCTGCAACAAGTATCACTTCTTGGAAATAGGTTTTCCTCTTCCCATCACATGTCACATGTTACTAATTTGATTCCATTTTGCAAGAAGTACCCGCTAGCAAACGTCCCCACCTCTGCAGCATGACAGGTCATTGTATCAGTAATTGCATAAATGCCTCGAACTCCTGTTCCAGAGCTTAGTGCTATGCACAACCAGGACTCCTTGACTTTCCTTACTTAAAGAAAGGAAATACTGGTGGTATTTACATCTGAGGTGATCAACTAATGTCATCTTGGTGTGTTCTGTTCATGTTTTGGGGGTGTTTTTTTAGGAGAATCTGTTGGCAATGTGCTGTGTTTACAAAGGCTGTGCAGGCATCTGCCTGGATAGATACAGTTTCAGATGTAGTTCTTGCAATGAATGAGACCCTCAGGTTGAAATCTTTATTTTAGCGGTAATCCTGACAGAAGTTCTTGTGTTTAAGTGAGACAGGACTTTAAGTCAATAAATTGGATTAAATGGAATTAGATTAAGGAGTACAGCAGCTTCGGCACAGATTGCCATGTGGCTGACAAGCTGCTCGTGTTCTGTTTTCAGTTAACTGAAATGAAGTAGTTGCTGTCTTCACAAACCTCCACATGTGTAAGAAGACAGCAGATACTAAGGGGATCCTAGGTAAAGAATAGGAGGTTTCTCGGTTGTGTGGCTTATTGCCACTCATTTCCCATAGCACCCAGGAGAAGCCCTTCATGTGCTTTCCATGGTTTTAGGGACTGGACTAGGAGAACATGTACGTTTTGACTGAGGAGGAGAGGGGGTAGATGCTCCTGAGTCACTATTGTCTTTGTTCATCTCAACCCAAGCTGTCTCATCCAGTCTTTGAGGGGCTTCTTCAGGCCCCTGAACCACCCACCACATGACAGGGTTGGAAATCAGCGTTAGAGAACAGACATCGTATGAAGTTATCATGGCTCTGTCCCCTGCCTGTGTTGCTTTTGCAGCCATCTTGCCCAGGACCTGACCTTGCCTGTGCCGCATTTTACTTTTCTGCCTGGGGCCGCCCGGGCTGGTAGAGAGCTGCTGCGGTGGCTTTACTGCTTCCTGTTTCGGGCAATGGACATGAGAACAGCTCGTGGGCTGAACACCATCTTTTTGCGTTCTTTTGCTTGCTTCCTTCACCTAGCTGTTGTAACAGTCTTTTGGGGCTCTAAGCAAGTGAGTGTGAAATAAATAAATAATCCTGAAGATTGATGAAATTTCAGATTCTTTTTTTTTTTTTTTTCCTCCCTCCAGGTCCAAGGTTAGGAGAAGTAACTTGGAGTTAACATTTCTGGCTTCTCTGTTGCTGTACTGTGCATCTCAGCCAAGCTAGAATATTTGATCCTCAGCGTATCCTAAAGGAGTGAAGAGTGAGATAGTACAGCTTAACAGAAACTGGAACAAGAGTGAGAAATTCTAGGGCCATGTGTCTGTTGGAAAGATTTATTTTGGACTTCAAAGGAATTTAGCCGCTCTGCAGTGTAGCCAGCTAGGCTCTTACCTTTTGGGAGAAGGTAAAGGGAATCACTGTGGTAGCAGTTCACTCAATATATAGCTTATAAAAGAAGTCTGATATCAGAAGTAACAGAAGAAGAACACTTGGCTTGCCACAAGTTAGCAAAAGACCTTGCAAATTTTATTTTGTGCATAAGGAGATTTTTAATCATGACACATAAGGCACCTGCTGATAGTGGGGCAAAATTATGTATTGTGCTAGCATGTACTTCATAGACTCTGCTGAAGTTCGTGCTGTTTAGTGTTTGCTCTCAGTGCAAGATGCATGGTTATGAGGAACATAAGGGTGATAAATTTTTATTGCTTGATTGTAAGTACATGGAATAATTGGCATTTGCACTAGTAAAGCAAGATTTTGCCCATGGTCTCTTCCTGAATCTAAACTTACTTTAAAAAACAAAATATTTGAACACTTTTGTTTTGAAATAGTGTATGTATCTACTTTTGCAGGAAAAGTCATTTCCATGCCATCAGTTTTGCAAATTCCTATCTTCACCTCTGCTTAATATCCCTTGAAAATAACCCTGTTTATTTTAAAAATCACATGCATGTGTATGCACTTGTCATAGCGAAAGAGCACTTAATTAGTCATGTAGCAGCTGCCTGTTGTTTTTATTACTGCATTGCAGAAAGCTGGTGCTTCCGCAGGTTTCTCTTGTAAGTTTCTGCTGTTGTTTTGGTCAAAATAGCAATATTTATTATCACAGTATTTATAGAGTTTGTCAAATACTTGTCGGAGTTGCAGCAAAACTTATAACTAAGTTACAGTCATCATGCAAAATCATCCTTCTTGAGTTCAGATAGCATGTGGAGAAGTCCTACCTTGTTGCGCCTCAGGAGGATTGTGTAGCTGGTAGTGCCTCGCAGAATGTGGCCTTCTGGTGATTGATTGCTGGTACCTCCTATAGTTATGGCTGCTTTTATCTGCTCCCTGTGTTCCTGTTACTAAAGCTCGCTCTGCACTGGCAGTCTTTTGAAGTTCAGATGGTGCTGTTGTAATGCAGCAATGTTGATCTAGCACTGGGAAAGGAAGAGTGCTGATGAAAAACCTGTCACTTTTTCCAGAAGTTTGTCGTAGTGTCATGCTGACACATTCATCAGCTGAAAGTAACAGAATCCTTGAGCTCTGTGGGCTGGAGAAACTGAGGCCTGTGATCTCTTACCAGGGAAGGGCAAAAGGAGAAAAGCTCTTGATGACTTTAATCTGCAGGTGGTGAAACTGTAGTTTCACAGACAGCAGCCTAGATTTAAGTCCACTGATTGATTCCTCGCCTTTTCTTTATTTGGCTTTGGTTTAGTAAATGTTCAGAGGCAGAATATGTTGTAAAGATGGAAGGACGTACAATTGTGTGGGCACAACGTGGCCAGGCAGAAGGCTCCGCTTACCCAGACAATGCTTGCAGGGTATGTGCGCTCCCCTCACAGATTTGTAATCCTTTAATTTTGGTGTTCCCATATCTCGTTCTGCCTTCTTCCTGGTTTCCTTCCTTTTGGTGTCTGTATAGCAACGTCTCACCTCGGTACTCTTCTGCTGTGCTTCCTACTAGGCTCAGACTTACTAGGGGGAGTAAGTATTATTAAAGGTTATGGCAAGTCTTCCTGCATGAGTTGGCCAGCCCCTTCCCTATTTAAATCTGAGTAGCGTCTTCCCTTTTGTCCACCGTGTAAAGATCAGATCATTCAACCAGTCATGAAGAACTTAATATTTATCTGATTTAGCATTTCAGATTGTGTTAATGGTGCCTTCTCTTCTGGATAACTGGGGGAATGTGTTTTGTGTGTCTCTGCACTAAATGAAATGTTTAATCTGATGTAGATTCCTAAGCAAGGTAGTTAACCTACTCCCGCATGAGCATAGACTGGACAGTACTTTCGGGTCTGACTGGTGTGGTAGGCTTCCTGTTCCAAGGTGCTACAGGAGGTTTAAGGGCTTTAATTGTGCAAAAGTTACTAAAGTTTATCTGACCTTGTAATTTGTTGCTAAGAAAGTATCGATGTGCTTCTAGAGGAGCATATGATTTAGAACAGTGGGAAAATAACTGCAAGATGTTCAAGGAGGTGGAGCTAAGTTCGAAGCAGATTTGGCAGGTGGCAGTTTTCACAGGGTGCTTATGCCTGGTGCAATGCCGTATCTGCTGGGGGAGATGCAGAAAATGACCCGCCTCAAAAGAACATTACAAATGTTTCAGATTGTAAATAAACAGAAGAGGGCAAACTTAGCATTTAGAAATAACAAAGTAAAAGTTTTAAATCTGTCTCTATCTTTTGTTATAGAGAAAATTACTTCAGTTTCTTAGTTGGCTTTCTTCCTTGTGTAGCACAACCCAAACAGTTGTTCGTACGCAATGCCTTTAGATTGTACTTACACTTGGAACTAAGTTTTTATAGACATGTGCCCCCTTGTTTGAATTGTGATCTGGTTTATATCCACATATATGCTATGCCAAGTGTGAACGTTGTCTTCCATTTCTTATAGAGCATTAACCTTGTTTTAAATGAAAGGACCCAATCCAGTACAATGAATATTTAATCCTTGATTTCAGATACCAAGTAAAATGTGACTTGTTTTGTTTATTGGAAAACCATGGCCTCGAAGTCCAGGGCTGCATACACTCATATGAAAGTACAATTGTTTGCAAATGAAAGATCTTCAGCAGTCTACCTGCCTTTCAGTGGTCA